ATATTTTCGGAATGTTGGTGGTCTATGTACAAAGTTGCATGAACTTTCGAAGTCAGTTGCATGCCATTATTATGATATAATTGTTATGGTTGAAAGCTACTTAAATGAGGATATTTCTGACTGAACTTCGATGTGATGGCTTTAACATATCGCAAACCCGCTAAAAGCGTCACAAGTCAAAAAAATCACATCACATTTTTCGAGATAATTCCATAGATCGATCAGAAATTTAAACAGCCTACCTTCTAAAGAAGCGTTATTTTTTTACTAATACTTTACCAATCATTAAAAACATCATGTGAAATGCCTGACATTATCTTTAAATGGTTTTTCTCGAAACTATATTTTTTGAGTAAACACTATTTTAGCGAGTGTGCATTATGTATTCCGTTGTGATAGAAATTACAGAACTAGTCAAAACGACAGTAGGGGATGTTTTTAATTGTAAAAAACAAAATCAAATCCCAGTACATAATAACAGATGAGGACAGGTTGAGCAGCCCTCGTTTTGTGGCAATTTAACAATTCCAGGTTTTTCATTGCAGGTGTATACATACCCCCTTGGTCATCTCAGGACACTTCAGCACTGCGTGACTGTTGACAGTAATCCAACAATATCCAGGAGTGAATATATAAGAAGTAGGCGACTACAATCTACCAAATGTAGTATGGTCCAACGATGAGTTTGGGACAATGGTGCAATGCCCAGCATTGGAGGTAGCATTATCTTTTGCTTATCATAGGCTTTATCAGCCTAATAACATACCTAATGATCGTAATATATTTTTAGATTTAGTTCTTATTTAAGGTTAGAGACTTTGATGTAACTAGGGCTACTGATCCTCTAGGTAATTTAAGTTTGCATCATATTAGTTATGAATTTACTATAGCCCTTTCTTCAAATGATCTAGTCTATACTGAATTTTACTGATTTATAAAACGGTAGCCATAGAGAACAAAATGCTAAGTAAATAAAAGATTTGATGTTGCTACTTATTTATTTTATGAACTTTTATTAACTGGAATTTCTTATTTTATTCCACTTAAAAAGTACAGTGTATCTACTTCTCCTAAATGGTTTTCTTCTGAATGTAAGAGGCTCTCTAACATTTGTTTCAATAACTATATTAGGGGGTTTCGATGCGAATTTAGTAGAGGATCCTAGATTTTTCTGGAAGTTTATAAATGACAAACGCTCTAGCCACAATCTACCTAGTTCCATGTTCTATGACAATCATAAGGCTGCATGTGATCAAGATATTGCAAATTTATTTAGAGATTTCTTTCAAACGGTATACAGTGTTAATGTAAATCCACCCCAAATTACAAGTGATGTAACTACCAAAACACCAAAAACACCAAAAAATCGGGACAAACAACTGAAATGTGTTACATACTATTTCAAACATATAATTCTAATTAATAAATCAATATGCAACTTCTGGATCGGATGAGCGCAGTTAATGTTGTTGAGAAAAATATTACCAAATATTTAATTTGTTAATAACTTGAGAAAACATACCCTCCTTTATTTGAATTTTACTAATCACAGTAACTCTTCACAGTGTGTTTGAAAAATCATGATAACGCCCAACTCTGCTCTTTCTCTGAATTGACGTTTTCAAGGATTTAAAAGAATGGTAAATATATAAAGATGTTTGTGAATAAGGATATCAAAAGTAAAAAATGGGAGTCTCAATTCATGTTTCAAAATGCAGAAGAAAGAAAATAATAAATACTACTTCAACATTTGCTACAGAAAATTTATCAGTATTAAACAAAAAAAAAAATGGAGAGATTCTTGAATAAAAGTTATATTGTAGATTATTCTTGTAGTTTATTTTTAACAAGAACAACACACAAATTATAACTCATAATTAAACGGTTTTATTTTGTAATGTGTAAAATAATTATTGATTTAAATTTGTTAGTTTGGAAAAGAAACAAATGTTTATATGCGATTATCATTAGTTTCATTTTTCGTTTTGTAATAGTGTCTTCGTTTCATATAATAAGTCTTCTTGGGTGTTACATGTCAATAAATCCAGATTCAATTTCACAATTCTCCTAAATGTACATTCTCATTGTACAAGATGAAGACGAGTAGATATATTTTTGAAGATGAATGAACGGGAGAGATGCCTTTTTGTGCATCTGTGCCTTTGAAGCTACTAAATTAATAAAAATAAAGCGATCCTAAATTTCAGAATTTAATTAATAAAAAAAAAAAACAAGTTGCTTAAGACTTTTTTGTAGTAGTATCCAATTGTACAGACCAGCCAATAATGAAAATAGATTTTCGGCAAGTAGTTTACCCCTCAAAATCTCCAAACCAATAAAATATCTAGTGGCTGAAAATTATTTATTATATTCGTTATATTATTCTGAGTAAAACTTCTATTTGTACCAAATTTTGTATGTGTTAATTTTTTGTTTAAAGCACCAAATTTCAAAAAAAATTAAAAATATCTGAAACAAGCAGACTTAAATGAACATTTTTTCTACAGCTCCTTAAGAAAAGTTTCAATTATAGAACACTTTTAGTGAAAACTTGATTTTCATCACAAGTGAGAGAAATCCCATAACGTAAACTTTCGTATGTAATGACGAAAGATTTCACAAATGCGTCTCACTAGGAAGTAACATATTTTAACAGATTATAACTTGTGAATGGAAAAAGATATCGACATGCAGTTTTCACTAAACTTCTTACATTTGCTTCAAGTTTTTGTTGACATAGTTACCAAATGTATATTTTTCCCGAAACTGCCGGAAAAAAATTGCCTTTTTTTTAAAGCAAAATTATCGGTTTATTTTAAATAGAACACTATATTTTCTCATACCATCTGAAAGACCATATCTTCTCCTTTTCAAAAATGTATACATTTTGATTATTTTTAAAGGTTCAGGGGAGATATTGTTTTATGAATCTACGTGAAAAACATGTAATTGTAAGATTTTTGGAATTTTCTGTTAAAGTTTATTAATGTTTTATGGATGTATTTTTTGGTATACTTCAAAAAAAAATTATCCAATACTTTTATAATCAACTGTATCCTTTATCCAAAGCCGTCTGACACATATTAAGGCAGCGTTTTATCAGGGTAGCTTTGAAAAATATATAAGTGACATTAAAAAACGTCAAAATTTATGTGAAGTAGATCAATAATGAACACACTCAAATTAATTAATAGACAATGTAAAAAATGTCATTTCTTTCAGCAATTTCGGAAAAAAATGTGTAAAGTTTGTAAAAATCGAACCCAAATGTTTTAGTTGAGGTAAAATAGGTAAACTGTAATTGGGCATCTCCAGTCAAAAGGATGACAATGTGCCTGGTCTCTTTTTAAAGCAAATTAAGTCTACTATAGATTGTATACTTGTTATCTACTTACTTTAAGAATTCATTAATTTTAAGTTCACAAAGCGCATTTATACAAGTCTTTTTTTACATGTACACAAAATTAGGTCATTACTAATGCAGAGTATTGTGTTCTTCTTTTAAAATTACCTCCTACAATTCAGCTATCAAGTATAGATGATGTAATGCATAACATGTTGTCTAATATAACTAACTAAATTTGTATTTTAAGTTTCTAAAAAAAAAAAATGTGATTATTTTTTAAATTAAAAAGCCTGTAAAAATAGTTTGAACAACGAATGGGCCATTTTAATGAAAATCGTTACTGAACAAATTGTTTAACTTTTAAAAGACCACATAAAAAATAAGATACATGGAAGTTTTTCTAAGAAATAATATAAAGAATCTAATAAAATCACTCTCAGTAACTAGAATGTTTATTGTTGAGTTACTCAACTGAAACTCTAAGCAAACAGCAAACCCAATACATTTTAGAACATATATTTTTCGATACGTCTCCTAAATTTTCAAACAGCTCCAAAAAATTTAACTTAGTAAGTAGACAGTTTTCATAAGCGTATGAATATGTCCAAAAATTACCAGTAGTTCTAACAATATATTTATTATTGTATACCATAAATTTACTGTATCAAACAAAAATAATTCTTATTTTTTGTTAATCATATATACTACAAGATGAACTTATATCAATAACGTGATCAATAATAATTATTAAAATACTTTTGATAAAATAAAAAGATACTAAATGAATACAACCACTTTTATCAATCAAGATCTTGGATTATTGTATTCAAAAGACCTATTCATACACTAATGATATTTTATACATTATGATGTACTGGCATAGTTTTTAGAACTAGAGAAAAACATACTGTATTTCTCTGGTTATCTTTCTCAACATGCTAATCTATTTAAAAACAATTGAAATTAAACATTTACATCAAGGTGAAGAGAATTGAATGTTATGATAGAAAGTACCGTAAGAGTACACAAGATTTGCAACAAATATGAAGTGTCCTTGCAGGCAGTTCCAATCTCAAAGTAAAAAACATATATTTGGTGTTTCAGACAAACCATGAAATAATTATTTTTGGAAACCATTATTTTTAGAATGTTTGGATTATTGTTCATCAAATTGATGAACCTCTGATGTTGGCCATTTGGTTCATTTTAAATGAATAACCATATTTTGTCTATATATACTCCATGTCAGTTTTTTATAAAAATGTGTGCACTGTTTTTCCTTTGAACAATGTATGAACTTACAGAAAGTCTAACTGGTTAAAACTACGAAAAATAATCTTAAAATATACTAAATAAAGATAAAAAAAAAGAAATGATAAAATAAGAGTTTGCTTTAAATTGACTTGAGTTTTCAGATCTGTCTGAACCCCATTTTTGAATGGTTTAAAATACATTCCTTACACATCTTTCTTAACAATTTTCCAATCACACACCTTGCATATCATCATTTGAAACATAGTTAAGTCTACCTGCATAGAACTAAACAATCAGTAACACTTCAACATTATCCCAACAAGAACAGTCTGTGAGTAAAATTCTTCCAAGTCTTCAGTGGAAAATGTAGAATGAGTCTTAAGATTAGTCCTTTACCTACCTGGAGGCATTTGTAACGGTGGTGGTCTCATTAATGGTCCTCCTATTAAAGTGGGTGGGCCAGGAAGCATCTGATGTCGCATGGGCGTCATGATAGGTCCACCCATGGTCATGGTCATGGGGGGACCACTCACACGAACAGGAAACCTTTGCATCATGGCATGGTGATGGTTCATGGCATCCACATGCTGCTTCTGTTGTTGTGCCGCTGCCTGCTGTGCTGCAGAAACTGCCATGGCCAACTGTAAATATCTCTGTTTTTAACTGATTTGTATCAGTTCTTTGGAACATATTTCAAAAAAATCAATATCTCAACAAATTTTGATTAAAAATGAGAATTTTATTTATTCATTTTATAAAATAAAAATATTGCTCATAAAAAGTTCTGCATTGGATAGAAATCAATAATCAAGAATCAAACTTGTAAAATATTTAGTGGTAGTACAGGGAAAATAAAAAAATATTGATTTATGCTGAAGAGTAAAGCTCTTTTAAATTTAATGTCAATTGAAAATGTAGATAGGAATTAAAAATTATGTCAAAGTTTACCTTCTAATAATTAATACATTTTTGAATAATAAAATATATTTTCACTGTATACCACTAAATATTTTATAAATTTGATTCATGATTATTAGGTGAGAAGAAATTTTTATAAAGAATATTTTTGTAAAATAAATTTCTCATTTGTTGCCAACTTTTTCAGACATACTGTATAAATTCAGAAATTGAAATCTGTTGAAAAATTGTAAAAAAAATATATTTTTTTTTTTATTTTAAAATGCTAAGTGAAAATAAAGAGCACATTCACAACTGAGTCTGTGTATATTTTTTTGTAAGTGCTATAACTGTAACAAAACAAGTTTTCTAGTTATTGATACTTCTTGTACCAATAATTGACATGATTGGAACCAAAAATCCGATAGATTTCATATTAAAATGGTCGATTACCGATTTTTGACAGTAAAACAACACTATCAGTACTTGCTTTTGGACCACTAACTGACATGGTTACTGGAACATACTGGTTTTGCTTGTTCCACTGGTTTACTTAACATTTTTGCTGTTAGGTGTATCTTATGACACCAAAAACGTTTCTCACTATAATTTTATAAAAAAAAATTAAAAATTAATTAAAATGAGGAATTTCCACTTTTGAGTGTTAATATTTCAAAAACCAATCACTTTATGAGTTCCCAATAAGAATACATGATTTATTTAATAAAAAACATCAAAAAACGTAAAAATATAGTCCAAATAAGTTTTTGGGCAGTGACGTAAAATTAAGAGGGGATGAAAATGTTACTCATCCATGCCGCACGCCACTGACAAAGTTTATTCAACTTATTGTTTTGCTGCGCTCCCATACTTACACAAAAATAGTACCTGCTTTTTTAACATTATATGTTCTCAAGGTCAAATCACCTAAAACATCCTTTTGTTTACGTAAGTTGGCAGCACATGAAAAACTTTTGTATTACTAATGTTAGGAAAAAAGTTATTCTTCATAAAAAGTCGAGCACGGTCTAAAACCTAAAATACAACCATCAGATATCAAATTTTATAAATCATATTCAGTTTGTCAAAAATTAAGGGTCGGTGGTGTAGCGGTCTAACGCGCTTATATTCATTTATAGACAAGTTTCTGGTCGAAGACAGGCGGGCTTCGAATCCCAGACCAGACCATGTGGATTTTTAATTAAATTGCATGGATCGGTATAGGATTTGATGTGTGCCGTATTAACAGAAATTCAATTTCTATTGATATGACATGCAGATTATAAAATCGCCATGCACTACCGTCTCGATGATGGTGGGTGAGGTTTTCCTCACCTGTAAGTCAAATGGCATCATCAAGTCGCTCCGGAGCGCCACCGCAAATAATAACAAAAATAGCCGCCCCTTTCCCCGCACAAGCTCAGCTTTTGGGGTTAAAATTCACTTGTAAGAGGGTGATAGGGAGAGTATTATTATTATTACTCCTAAGTAAAAAGCAGTATTTGAAATACCTCGTATACTATTGTAAAAATTTGATATCTGATGGTTGCATTTTAGGTTTCAGACCGTGGAGAACTTTTTATAAAAAATGACTTTTTCATAAAACTAAGAATAAAAAGTTTCCAATATGGTTCCAACTTAAATGGACACACAGTATATTCATCTGGAAAATTTTAATAAAATTTGAAAATAAATATATTATTATTTATTATTAACAATTTATTCTCACTGACCCTATCAACTTTCTTAAAATAAACACTCTTGTCATTGCATTGTGCTCTTGAAGGACTCAAAACATGATCAATTATTGGTACACTTACCTTATACCCAAAATATAACTTACAATGTCACTATATATCTGTTAAATAATTTTGCTCAATCGAAAAAATCTTAATAATGCAATAATTTAACTTTAATTTAAACATCAATATATATGTCATCTTATTAAAAAATAACAGATTAATGTTTAAAATCTATAAATGAATACAAATCATTATTTACCTCAGAGGCTGCATTACTGGAGCTCGAAGGTCCATCGTCTGTTTTTGAAGGAATGTTTCTGGAATATTTAGAATGCCTCGCCCTAATTTCTTCCAAAGATGTATCTTCTGATGGATGAATTATCTTACTTGTGGCACTAGAAGTTGCTATTGTGGATACTTTATTTCCTTCACTATTACTGCCTGCTGACAAATTTGTTGTGGGAGGGGCGCTTATTGTTGCAGCTAGACATTTAATATTTTTTATTAATTTTCAGTAAATTAAATATTTTTTAGTATATACTCATTTTTCATAAAAAAATTGAAAAATCAGACCTGATGATATAGGCTTAAAATCAGTTCCAACTATAGGGCCGCCTGATGATGATGTAGGGATAGCACTAGGGAATAGTGGTTTTGGAGGACCAGCTTGCTGTTGCATCATTTGCTGCATATGTGCTGGCATCATTTGCATACTGGAAAAAATATGCATTGTTCCATTTAAAAACTATAAATATGGTAAATTTTAGCAGTTGTAATAATAATATTCTTTCATTCAGTTAATCAACTTCGATAGCGAGTGTTTTGTAGCATTTTGTAACGAAATTTAATTTTTTTTTTGTTAAATTTTTTTGGTTTTATCCAATAAAAACGTTCACCTTCATGAAAACGGAGGCCGATAATTTAATTTTTACGAAGAAAATAAATCTACACTTATACAGGGCCATCTCTTAAACCTGAAATCAAATCTGGACAATTTAACGGACGCAGAGTTAGAGCGTTTCTGCGCGGATTTAACACGGAGGGTGCCAGACTTTGCGCTCGTACTGAACAATGTATGCAAAGAAAACAAATGAAGACACAAGTGGATAAAGGTGTCATGTCACAAAAAGATTATTTCGAGAAAAACAAGTTTAAAGTGTTACAATTGCATTATGATATATGACTCATAATACTTTCCTGTCTGATGAATAGTCATTATTTATCAAAATTGGAAATCAGAACTATAACAATAAAAATAATATAATAATTCACTGTTGGGTTCTAATTACCGGTGCTATTCCTAAAGTGGCGCTGAGAAACAGTAGCAAAGCCTACACAGAACACGTAGCGAAACAACCATAGTAGTTGAAACTGATGACACACAAAAAAAATGTCTTTTTTACAATATAATAAAAAGAAAAATTACATTGATTGTATAATAATTAGGGGGAGATTCAGTTTGTATGTAATAATTATAATAATATGAATAAGTGTTAATTTATCAGTAAACATACATCTGCTCTTCCATCTAACAGTATATTTTACATATGTTAGGCCATAAAAATCATTTTTGAAAAAATGTGACATGACACCTTTATCCACTTGTGTCTTCAACTCCCTAATTCAATGAAATGGAACAACGTCATGACTGGAAGGAACTGACTTTTTATGTTTTAACAGTGTTTTCGAATTTTCGTTTCATATGTTATTAATATAAAAAGTTGAAAAAATGACCAAAAAATCAAAATTTTACAAATGATTTGCATAAAAAATGAAAATACAAATATTGTTCCCATATTGTTTTTGGAAAACTGGGGAAAAGGTCAAAAGACTCAAATAAATGGGAATGAAATAATATTTCCAGTTTTATTAGTGGTAGGTATATGTTATACATTTCAAGTTATTTCAAGGTTGACTATTTTTCACAACTTTTCCAGACATATCCATAGCACTAGTCTAAAAATCACATTTCATAAAACTTCCTGTAGATATTATGAAAGATTAATAAAGAGCACACTTTTTTGAGTATATCCATAATAAAAGTTACAAATTTGGTTACTTTTTAAGATATTTTAATTTAAAATTTTTATAGTATATTTTATTCACTATGAAAAATTAATCTTTGAGTACCTATGGATGAAAAATATGTGGAATTACTATTGTCTACCCCAAAAATTCAAGATCCCAACTTAAATTTTGCCAGAAATAAAGCCATTCCAAAGTTTTTGTGAGGGTTATTTAATCATATAAAGGGTCTTTCTTCAGGTAAAATGCAGTGAAGTTCTAAAGCATATTATAGTTTATTTTTGCAGACACACCATATCAAAGGGACACTGGGCATCACTATACCAATTTTGTCGGCATTGGCAAAACGTAAAAAGACAGAAAACCAATTACTTCATTGTAATATTTTAGTGCTAAAAAGAGACTGGCAAAACACCTGAATGTCTAAGTTTTACTGGTATTGTCCTGTGGTGTTGTAGTGATTTTTCTTTTTTAATATTTTATATTTTTTTAACGCACTACAATTGTTAATGTAATTTATAATATTAGTGAATTTTATTTACATTTTGATTTTACTTATATACTATAATGAAATTTTAGTTTTAATTTGTTTTTTAATTTGTTCTTTAGTCGATATGTATTATAGAGTTGTATTACTTATTGCAGTGAAATTGTAAATGTTTATTTATGTTACTAGCTTTTATATTTATAATATTAATGTTTTTGAGGCGTGTATAAAAATGTAAAATTTGTCTTAACACAATAAATGGTAACTAACTACAAAAATAGCAATTTTGGATACAACACTAACAAAGTTAGTTAAACTCTTGTTTTTTGGTACAAGTTTATTATAGTTTGTTATTCTGCCAAAGATATTTATCCAATTGTTTACATTTTTTGGATGCGAAATATTAGCAAAACTGTTGCTTTGTATAGTGATAGCCACTTTAAAGAAAAACACAATATTGCCTATAAGTACTAAAAAAAACTGATTTACTTAATTTTGGATTAATAATAGGTAATTAGAAAGAATAAAATATGAAATAAGCACTTTAAATTTTTAAAGTAATCAACCACGATGTGAATAGAGTTGAATTTTATTAACTGTCAATAAAATAAATGATTAACATAGTAAAGAAATATTTTCACTAGCCAAGAAGGCAGCCAACCAAATACTTTTTGGACTTGGTCCTTCTATTGGACTGACAACATCAGTAGTAACAGACCTAATTAAAGAACATTCCCTTGTGAAATTTAAGGAATGATGGGATGAAATAAGAAACTGCAGAATTACCAGGGAGTTTTTAAGTTATCCTGACAACACTACAGCAAACAAATACACTATGACTAGAAAGAATCTGCGCCTGATCACAGGCACTCTCACTGGTCATGCCAAGCACAGAAGCATCTCCATTGCATGGAGCTATCAGGGGGTATGAACAAGATGATAACAAAATAATAACTCATTTATTTGAAGATTTGTGTTCGGCGAGTATCAGCTAACACTGACTGATATAAGAGAAGCACCTCTTGGCGACATTGTCAACTACATTAAAACCCTAGGATGGCTCACAAGCTAGAAGATGCCTATCAATTTAGGAGGATAAACAATGGACCTAGTGAGCCCTAAGTGCCATGGGGTAACCGATACTCCACACTTTACAGATAATTCTTATGTTTGGCCTTGATGAAGTGAGAAGTGAATAAGGAAAATTTGAAAACAATTTTGATGGTGTTAAATTTAAAAACTCAGCAAATCATTAGTTTAATACACCAAAATGCCCAATCATTGAGAAATACTATTAGAAGAACTCTTAGACCAGCCCATATTCGACTAAAAAAGATATTTGATAAAGATCTTTTACAAAACATTTTATGAAATATAATAGCTAACTATTAGTTTTGATAAAATATATTTTACAACCAAAATATTTCATAAAAGACTGTATCACACTCATATTTTTCATCAAATACCTTTTATAGAAAATCTTAATGCGGGCTTAATAAAACTACCACACTTTGTACTTGTGTAAAGGACCTCTGGAAAACCTAGACAATTTTAAATGAATAATATAAAACAAGTCATAATCAGCCGCGGTAGTGCTTTTATACTTTGGGAGTGCATATAATGCACATGTGCACTTATTTAGGAACCACCATTGGCCATGGGGTTAAATGATTATTTGAACATATTATAATAGTTTTTCATTTGAGCAATCCTTTATCTTGTTTTGATGTTACTTTGTTCAATTATCTCCCTATTCATATTTACAATTTCTGTGTATTGAAATGTATTTTCATAATAAAGAATATTATTTTTAAGTTGAGTATAAAGAATATTACGAATGTTATTAGTTCAAGTGTAAAACATATTTTAACAATATTGTAATAAATTTATTAAACTATTTCTAATATCTCATTTTCTGCAAGAAGTAATAAAGATCAACTATAATATGAGCAACACTGTTATCTTTGGTAAAATGATTTAGTAGCTTCTAATAAACAGTTATGTTACTTCACCATTTTCCATCTTAATTCAATTGAATTTTTCCCCCTTCTCCATCAAAACTATTCCACATAATTTCCGATTTATTACTTTATTGAAACATTCCTGTAGTATTTTATTTGAATCTATAAGTATATATTTTTAAATGAATGTAGCATTTGATTTGAAATTGTTTTCATTCTGTTGATACTACTGAAGTAATGTATAATATCATTAACATGTTTACATTTTAGAAATGCCTTTCAATATAAAATGAATTTGATTCCTTATTAATGATCACAGACAAACTCATAAACCTTTAGATTAAAAAAAAAACAAACAAGACTTTTTATACTTTAAGTAAAAATGGGCCTATATTAAAACTTTATTATGATTTTAACAATAATATTGTCATTCTTACTATAGGAAGTTAAAATAATAACTGTAAGTCTACCATTGTTTATGTGACCTACTTTCTCAAATTCCATATATTAAAATATACTTACCCAGGAGGATGATGATGATGCATAAAATGATGTTGCATATGACCCATTTGCATCATTGGACCCATCCCCATGCCTGGAGGCATCCCTGGTGGAGGCATCATTCCTGGAACCATATTAGGCACTCCTTGCATAACTCCTGGTGCATTGCCTAGAAGTCCCTCGGGCTTTGGCCTCTTGGTAGTTGGTTCATCATCATCGGATCCAGAATCATTACTAGGTCTACTACCTTGTTTTTGTCTTTCATGTTCTCTTAAATCAGCAGCAGGTATTCCTGGTAGATAAACAAAAAACATTTTAAAAGATCAAAATGAATAGTTTAAACGGAGTGAGGCGATCATAGCTGGCAGGTATGCTACTCATGTATTTTTGGAATGCTAAAAATAGGTTTTACCTTCCATCCCATATATTTCAATATCAACATTAGAACGATTTGGCAATGAATTAGGAACCTTATCTATCGTTTCCTTGTGAACTTGCATACAGTGTATCGAAAGACCAGGACCTGTATATAATTTCTTATGGCATATGTGACATTTGAAATGTTTGGCTTTTTGGTGTTGTATAAGGATTTTTTCATCCTCAAACTCCCTATTGCAATACCTAAATTCTATTAAGGAAAAGATCTAATAATAAATTATTGCTTCTGCGTAATTTTTAGCACAAGGAAATACTCAAATAAGTTACAGGATGGGTAACGAAATATTAAATCAAAAGGATACCAGCACCATGGTTTTGACAACTTCTTCTTCTTACGACCCATATTTTATAGCACACTAATTTAAAATAAATACACAATCACCGAAAATTATTTAACATTTACCGAAAAATAATTTAATTTATTAACGTGTACACAAACTTCTTCTGGCCCTGTTTTAAAGGCAATCAAAATCAAAGATGGCGGAAGTCAAAAGTTAAAGAAGTGAAGTTCAAGAGTCAGTTACAGACGCACCAATAAACCGAAAATCAACCACAGTTACACAACACAAAAATATGGACACCAACAATAAAATATGAATGCCACTAAAAAATTCTGGGAGCTTTGAATTGGTGAACTGCGCCACAGATGTTAGGATTGGTTTATGTCTACATAAAATTTGATGTAAATGTATCTGAGTAAATTATTCATCTTTTTAGGTTCCTCCGATTCTTATTTGTATATGACAGGACATTTTGTATTTTTTCAGATGTAAATAGGTATTATAAAAAATACAAAATTCATAACAATGCGGGAACAATTAAAAGATCTTTGAATGAAGTGGTTTTATTCCATTATATTGGGTAAGTGTTAAATATTGGTAAAAATTAAAACTTTTGCTTTAACAACTAACTTTAGGTGAAATATTAAAAAAATACCCGATATTTTGTAACACGTTTGAACTCAAATTTTTTTTTATTAAAATTGTATCATTAGGCTCTTTATCCACCCATCTTTACAATTATTTGTGAAGTACCTAAATAGATGCCTCATGTGCGAATCCATTTCCTTTGCTTACTTGCATATCTTGTATAAATAGGTCTGTGTCTGGTTTATTTTTTCCGTATTCAAAATTAAAAATTCAGCATGATTATATGCGCAGTTCTTTTTCACATGGTTTTAAAAATATATCTTAAAAAATATTTTTACTTATTGGTACCTATGATTGGTACATTTTAAACCAATTAAAATCAACACTGACGCAAAAATACCAAATTCAAGTTGCTTTCCTGTTGGGAAGGGAAGGGAACGACCAAATGGGCGGGGCTAATAATTGGAGGGAATATAAATTTCAAATTTGCAATGCTTTTTATTATGTGAAAACAATTTAAAATCTCCTTCTTATAGTATTTAGAAATATGCTTAGTAAACATATATATTGAAAAAAATATTGAAAAGAAAATTTATAAGTATTTCGAAAATTATTCTTTGTTATATTCATTACGCACTCGCAGTTCGTTCGAATGCGCCATGTTGATTTCTACTGTTTATTGTTTGCGGCGCCCCGCACCCGTTGTGAACTTATAATCCTAAATTTTAAAAGTTCATGAAATTACACTATTAATGAACTTAAGAAAATAGATTACCGTAATCTGGGCAGTGATTTGTGTGATATATTTTCCCCGAACTGTGTATAATAGTTCAGATTTGCCATAAAAATTAATAAGATCTTTACAATGGCTACCTCCGCGTCCCCCCGAAAGACTATAAATTGACAGTGAAAATGTTCACGTGATTTAAAAACTAGCTTAAAAATAAACAGTTTTTGTTTATGATATTTAGTTGTTATTTTTTGCTTCATTTTTATGGTTATTATGAATACTGATAATCAGAATGTCCTACCTACAGTGCACGGCACCTCAAATTCTGAGGTAAGTTAATTTATTTAAATAGGTACATCTGCAATAATAAATAAAAACCATTCCAAATATATTTTTTCAATAATATAAATTTACTCTTAATCAAATACTCGAAACGCATAATTAGTTTTTTCGTTATACATTCTGTGTACAGGGTGTCCCATTATGACTGGGACAGAGCAAATGAAGATTCTCTGATTATAATAATAATAAATGTCTTTATTTTCACAAAATATAGATTACAATAATAAAGTACACAATAGGGCGAGATTTAGCTTATGGCTACTCTTACATCTAACCCATTTACAATTAATTAGTAGGGTATACAAATTACAAAAACAAATAAAAATAAATACTTATAGTTACAAAAACTTAAAAGATAAATTGCAACTAAAAAATTCTGTTTGCTGGCTATCTAGTAGATGTTGCTTTAATCTGGATTTAAAGGAATAGGTAGGTGGATAGTATGTTTTTTAACTCTGAGGGTAATGTGTTATAGACTTAGGTACCCTGAAAAAATGGCAGCAGTATGATAAATAGGCATTGATAATGTTTTAGTGTCTCTTATGTTGACCATATGAGCTGATTTTCTATATTGAAATTTACCACTAAGATAGGTAGGCAATAAATCTTTGATTATTCTATGACTTAACAAAAAATATGCCCTAGTTCAGTGTGATGTCATTTTGGTTCCACTGACATTTAATTCTAACCAAACTTTTAACAAAAACATCAATAGATTTGACATATACGTTTTTACTGTTTTTATTTTATTTCAAAATATTGTTTACAGGTCATAAAAAATAGTTTAAAGGTATGTAATTGGTAACTAAACGATTGTATATTTGATACATGCTATCTACTTGCTTTAGGAATATATTAATAAAAGTGAAAAAAATGATATAATTTAGGTAAACAAAACGAACAAAAGGCACTCAAAAAATCTACTGACACTTTAATTGTCAGTGGAACCATAATTACATCATCACTGAACTAGTGCATTGATAAACATTGTGAACCTTTAGCCAATGTGTTCTTACAAAAAAGAAAGGAATATGGTTATATTTTTGTAAATTATTGATAAATCTAGAAGTATTCTGTAATGTATTCTTGAAATAAATTAAACAAATTGAAGTCTGTTTTATTGCTTAAGCAAGTGTAATAAATTTGTATTCAATACACTATTTTGGACATAACGAGACTTTGACATAGATTAAATCTGGCTTTCTTATTTAATAGTGTTGATTCTTGGCTCAGTAAATATTTTTCTGGTACAAGATAAGTGGACTGTACTGACATAATGGGATAATAATAAATCTTTCCTTATGTTTGTTACTCAAGTTTTTATTAATTTCTATTACATTTTATTAATGTTTTAACGGTTTTTATTTATTTTCATTTTATCTATTTCTATTTACTTTTATCTATTTTTATTTATTTTTGTCTATTTTTATTTAGGTATTTATTTTTGTTTGTTTTCTTATTTTTTAATAATTTTTATTATTTTTTAATATTTTTTTATTTATTTTTATTATTTATTATATATTTTTATTTATATTTATTTTATTTACTTTTATATAATTTTTATTTATTTTTATTCTCCCCTTCAAATGTAAAAATCCAAAAACCTTTTTTATACATCATTATTTACTTATCATGAGTAGCTACAATTCCAATTTTTAAGTTCCTACCTTTATAAAATCGAAAGTATCATAAAAACTTTCACCTCCTGTTTCCCCCCTTAATATGTAAAAATACAAATAACCTGAAACATATCTATTTATTTACAATAAGTTACTTCAATTCCAATTTTTAAGTTCCTACCTTTAAAAAATAGATACCACATACAAACTTTCACCCCCTTTCCTACCTTATCCCATTTCCCCCTTCCCCCCTTTGCTCCCTTAAAATATGAAAATTCACAAACCCTAAAACACCATTATTTATTTGTGATGAGGAGCTATAATTCTAATTTTCAAGTTCCTATCTTTAAAAAAATTGATACTTCCATACAAACTTTCAACCCCCATTTCCTCCCCTTAAAATGTGAAAATCCAAATTCCCTGAAACAGGTCATTAAGTATTTATATATGCTCAGTAGATGTATTTCAAATTTTCATGTTTCACTACCACTATGCAAAAAATCTGATGTGTCCAACACATGACTTTCATCTAGTTATTACAGGCTTTTTCCGGTTATTTTGTACAACCTATTGCAGCACCTCTATAAATGTTTAGAGGATAAACTAAATATATACATTTTCCACATCTACCTCAAAATATTTTTCTATAGATATTCATTGAAAACAAAAATACTAAAAAATTTAAATTTAGCACTGTTCCTACAATTTTTTCATTACCGTCCATTTTAGAAAAATCATGTATAAACAAAAATTATAGAGATCGATATCGCAAACAACTTTTATTTCAACAATTTTCATAAAAATCAGAATTTTGCACATTTTGTAAAATTTCTCGAATACGGACCATTTCAAGAAATTTTGACATAAAACAAAAATTATAGATAATAATATTAGAAGTAACTTTTATTTGAACTATTTTTTTCTCCAAATATAAATAACAGATATATTCCATAAAATATAAAAACGGCCTCCCATAAAGTACCCCCCCAGATGTTCCGACTTGTCCAAAATCTAATCATTTCACCTCAGGCCAAAATAAAACTTAAATTTAAAATTTAATGTTTTTTTCTTTATCCGTTTTTGAGTTTTCTTCAAATTTCGAAATTTACACATTTTCTCAAATATCTCGAATACGGTCCATTTTAGAGAAATTATGTAGAGGATAAAAATTATAGAGAATTATATTACAAACAACTTTTGTTTGAATAATTTTTATAAAAAAATATTTTTTTACATTTTGTCAAATTTCTCGAATACGGACCAATTTTGGAAAATTTTATATAGAACAAAAATTTTAGATAATAATATAAGAAGTAACTTTTATTTGAAGAATTTTCTTCCCCAAACGTAAATAACATATATTCCATAAAATATAAAAATGACCACCTATACGAGTAAAGTACCCCCCCAGATGTTCCGACTCTGTCCAAAATCTAATCAGCTCATTGGACGCTGGAACAAAGCTTAAGTTTAAAATTTGGTGTTTTTCTGTGTATCGGTTCATGAGTTATGACACACACACACACACACAGAGACATCATCGCGAAAATAGTCAAAACGGATTCAGGGGGCCTCAAAACGTAAAAATCCGTCGAAAACTTGAGGTCGAAAAAAATCATGATTCCTATACTTTCCTTATATCTGTATACAGATAGGAAAGTAAAAATCATGTCTGATTCACTGTTTTGTGAAAAAACAAAACCTAATCTATCCAACGTAAACCGTACATATTCCGGGACAAAAAGTAGCCTATTTGCTATTCCAGACTATAACTTTTCTTTGTGCCAAATTTCATCCAGATCTGTTCAGGCGTTCTGACATCCATCCATACATCCAAACTTTTGTATTTATGTATTAGTAAGATTACATTATATTTTTTATTTATGTATTACATTATATTTTTAACAAGTAACTTGAAATTAAGCCATATTTGAGGGTTTGAAAATGGTTTGAACTATTCCCATTTGGGTGACCAAACATGACTGCCATGTTGAATTCAGTTTAAACAAGCTGTATCTGTTTTTGAAACGGTTCAATGAAATATAAGTGTCATTTTCATTAATGTCAAAAATAGTAGTAACAAGTATCATATATCAAAGCATAGACGGAATATACAATGGCCTTATAGTACAGGATCTGAAGTAAGATTGACTTTTATCCATCTCTTTAATGGATGAAAGTTTTCTTTTTTATTAAATAAAATATGTTTATACTCAGATGGGTTGTCTAAGAAAATACTATCACAGTCATTTTTTACTTTCCTTTCTGTATATATACCGGGTGTTCATATTAAAGTGTTACAGTTAAATACCGCCGAAAATATGCATTTTAGAAAAAAAAAGTTTTATGGTTTTTTGGGGGAAATATTTTGGCTAAATTCATTTTTTTATATGAGGTGAACTTTGTTTTTTTAAATGGGAATCCCATTTTTTTCTTACATATTCTTAAAGTACATAAAAAAATAAGAAACTTTTGAGGGAAATATTTTTTTTATTGGACTTTTACTTTTTGAGTAACAGCTACTTGAAAATGTTGCTGCGCGAAAAAAAGTTGGCCATATTATGGTTAGCTATAAGAAACGATTTTAGCCAAAAGTTTTTCTCTACAAAACTATAAAACTTTCGTCTGAAACTTTTTTTTTTTTTAATAAAAAGCGGCATATAGCTGTAACGCTTTAATTTGAACACCCGGTATAAGGGAACTTTCCTTCATTAAACAGATGGGTGAAGGTTGACCTTACTTCCGATCTTTCCAATAATATTAATAATAAAAAAGATTTATTTTATATGGTTTTAATATAACATTATTCATATTTTATAAGAATCTGGGTTTCTCTTTTATTTGTTAATGGAGAAAGGCTAGGACTAGGGATCTACAAAACACTCGTGTATGAAGCCTATGTATCTGAAAATCACAATTGTCAACTGTTAGTGACATCACTGTTTTAAAATCACCTATTTGAGTGCTTTCAAAATCTGTGAAATCTTATTAAAACTGGTGCTAATAGTTGTTGAAAATATTTTTAAACCAAAGAGACTGCTCGAATATGGCTTTATTTTTTTTTAGGTAATTTAATTTTACAATTGAGAGACTTGTAACATTTTTATTAATTTTTGGGAAATAAGAAAAAACGTTTTATGAAAATTTTCACTTGTTTTACCAAAAATAAAACATTCCAAAGATTGGTCTTTTGCTTAAACTTATGGTATCAGTTACTTTGATTTAGTTTTGGAATAGTTGGACCTCGTTATGTAATTGTGAATTAAGGGACATTAACATGTTTTCGAGAAACACGAATAGAACTAGTATTTATTTGGCAAATAAGAAAATATCCCTTAATACACGTTTCCTTAAAATTGGTAAAATAGGGAATTTTAACTAAGAATAAGTTTTGTAGTTAAAATTTCAATGATTATTAAAGAATTGCACCATTTACTCGATTTTTGAATTTTATTGTTTAATTCGTTATTGCATAATGCAGTCCAGTTATCTGTGTATTTCTTATTGGTATTGTTTTTTTACAGGGTTCATCTCAGAGAAGTCCAGCTACATCAGTTCCCACAGATCTGAGGGTTAACACTACAGCTTTAAATGCTGTAGCTTTAAGCAATGTAGCTAAATACTGGGTATTAACTAACTTACTACCAGGACCAATACCACAGGTTTCTGTCTATGGATTGCCAGGTGCAAGTAGAGAAGCACAAGGAAAAATTTCTCAAGTATGTAGTCAATGCTTATTTTTATTATATTGTATTAGGTAAATAAAATGCATCCATATAAACGAAACAGTTTAATTTAACTTAATTCAAAAAAAAAAAAAAAAAAAAAATACTATCATTATTGTAAAATTTGTTTTGTATTGTGTAAAATTACTCATGCTTACTAACTAAAGACAGTATTGGAAATATATATAAACCATATCATTCGTAAATGTTTTTTGATTTTTTTGATAAAACTAAAAAACATTTACTTCCATTTTTTGTTACTTTTAAAATAATAAGACAAAGATTTTATTATAAATACTTACACATAAAATAGACTAGCTGGTAGTAAAATTTGCTATCAATTCAAACCTAAAGATGCAAAAAATAGCTTAATACATGAAAATGTATGTTTTGCATTCTCTAACTCCCTTTGATCAAATTTAAAAGTGCTGTCATTTTTTGGAATAAAACTATACCCTATGTAACTGTATAAACTTCACCATATGCCATGATTAATAAGAACACATTTTTGACCTCATTATAATATTTACTCAAGAAGTATTGAAGCATACAAAAATTGGCATTCACTCAGTTTAACTTTAATTGCCAACTTAATTTTTTACTGTCATACATATAAATTAAGGTCTAATTGTTAATTGATTACAAGTTTTTATTTTAAAGCAAAGAAGGTAGTCAATTTTAAATTACATTGTTAAATATTATAAAGTAAATTGTTGCAAAAAGAATATAAGAATTAAAAGAGCTTATAATATAATATACATTAAAATGTTATCAGTTGTTAAACAAGCACTCACTTTTTGAAAAATAGTCTTTTTAAATAAGCTTTCAATCATTCAATCAGCATTTAGAGAAAAAATTATATGAGAGCATAACATTTGCTTTCACCTAATCAAAATTGTTACAATTATTTTTTGCATTTCTTAAACCAGCGATTTCGTAATTTTTGGCACCATTTTATCCAATAATTGCCCAAAATATAATAATTTCCTTTAATAAGTACACGTGTTTAATCCATCAAAGTTGTCATGTAAACAACATTTTAAAAGAGAGGTATTAATTTTATAGAATTACGGTTTCAAATAGTAAGTGAAGATACATCTTGTGAGTTGAGTAAATTTTTCACCATATATTTTTAACATTTTCTATAATAGTAGAGAGTGTATGATATATTAATATATTATAAAAATCAATTTTAATCAGTAATATTTTTTTTAGGATGCTGTTCTGGGTCAACATAGTTTTCTACAATCTGACCCATTACTCATTCAACAACACACTCAAATTCCTGTTAGCATTGCAACATCACATGGCACTCTGGGGCTCACTACTAGTGGAGTACACCTAGAAAATGCTCATATTTCTAGTCATTCCAATGAAAATCTGTCTTCACAGAATTCCAGTCAATTGTCTAGAGATATGCGCGTGAGTATATATAATTTTTAATTTGTAGTTTTTTCTTAAACAGGTTTGCAGAAGGGATATTTTTTGTGTTACGTACGTTTTTAGGTTAACATTCATTATAATATGTGCTGGTTTGGACAAAGATTGAAACTCTAGGGGTGGTAATATTCTTTTATTTTCTGTATTGAACGGATTTAGCTTGTTTTGTCTTATATGGGTATTTATCGATTATATTGAACTCTAGGTCTTAGTCACAGTAATTTATTGAAAATTTGTATATTTTGCTACTAGTTTTGACAACTCAAGGTTAGGGTTCCCCATGGTTCTACTTCATTTTTGACAGAAGCCTGGTCAAAACTAGTAGCAAAATATAAAAATTGCCAATAAGCTACTATGATCACCAAGCAAAATTTATAGTTTTTTGTTGTACCTAATACACATCTTATCATATTTTGAGAATGTTTGATTTTTCTTCACTTTGTTATAGTGGTTGTCAATCTGAATTCGTAAAATTTTCAAATATTTCAAAACATCTTGTTAAATATGAATTACTTTTTTTAATATTAAAGATACCACACTCGCACCATCATAATCAACAATCACAACAGCAGCAGCAGCAACAACAACAACAACAACAGCAGCAGCAGCAACAACAACAGCAACAACAACAACAACAGCAGCAGCAACAACAACAGCAACATCACCAGCATCAACAAAATCAACAAAACATGGTTCAAGTCCAGGTTCAAGATAATTTGGTTTCAGTTATAGAAGATAACAAAGACCATAAAGATATTATATCTGCTCAGCTGCAGGCGGCTCACTTACAGATTGCTGAAAATCACATTGGTCAACAAAATTTAAGTGTGCAGCAGTTACAGCACCTTCAAGTTCAACAGGTTCTGGAAAATGTGGCAAGTATTGTATAAAATTAATTTATTTTTATTACTAATTAAAGGTACTGTATTGTTTTCTACTGAGATTAGTTTCCACAGTATAATATTTGCATTTAATAAATTACATTAGAATTCTAAGTTTAAGGATATAACTTGATTTATGGGTATATAAATTGTCGCTTACTTTTAAGTAGAATTGCGCTACATATACTACAAGATTAATTAATTATCTCTCATTTTTATGCCCCTTTCAAAATACTGCATTGCATGCTATAACTATTAATCACATTTATACATATAGACTCAAGTAGTTTGACACCATATCCAACTGCAAGACAAATTTACCCCAATTTTCATAATAATTAACAATATGTGACCCTTTTATAAAGTAATAATCCAGTGTTTCTTCTACCATTTTTTCATTATGTCACCAGGTGTTATTTTCCATCCTAAATCAACACAAAATGATTAAAACACAATACACAATGAAATAACCCACTTCTTTGAAATCTAAATAAATCGTTGAGAATAAATAATTAAAATTATGTTCTATTTGTCAATAAAATGATGCATATGCACTAACAATACAAGAAAGTAGTAATATTGGTTGCCTATATATCACTAATTTCTTACCAAAACACAATTTTATAAATAATCTAGTCAAAATTAGAAAAAAAATATTTTATGTATCACGTTACGAAATGCCGTTTTATGTAACTCGTTACATAAAATAACTGGTTTCATACATAGCTCTTATATGAACAAATTAAACATAAAATATATACAACAATATAAAAAAATTAAAAAATTAATTTTATTTCTAGATTATTACAAAAGTAGTTTTAATGTTGATATAAAATAAAAGTTATTCTAGATACTACAAAATAATTCATTTTATTTTTCAACAGCACGTTTTTTGTAAAGCCCTGTTTAATACCATGTTAATTTACTCAAATATAATATGACAACGATATATTGTTATTTCTTTTTAGGTGCGATTGGAGAATTCTGTAGAAAACAATCAGAACCAATCAAATAATGATCATCAGGATTCTCTTACAGAGGCCATTCAAATCGTCAAAGATGAAAAACCATTTCCGAACTGCAAATTAGTGTCTGGAGCTCAATTCGGTTTGCAGGACCTTAAAGGAAACTTGATGGATGTAAGAACAGCAGATGGAAGTATTGTTAAAATACAAACGAATATGCAAGAACAGGAGATAGTTAAGACACTTGGAGTAGATATTGTTAATAATATGTATAAAGTGAATGTAGATGATTTGAATCAATTGCTGGCTTATCACGAGATTTTTGGAAAGTTGCAGGGCAGCCAAATAAGTAAGTTTTAATATAAATAATCTCATTGAAGAAACAATTTTTATAATTATTATACAGTTAATTGTCTTTTTTTTATACTTACAATAGAATATATTTGTCATTAAACAGTATTCCTTCTTTAGTTCCTTTTTAACTGACTTCAAAGAAAGGAGGAGGTTCTCAATTCTTCAGAATATTTTTTTTTTGTTTATGTTTAGCGATAATTCTTTACCATATTGTAGGATTTATAGGATTATTTTTTTGTTAGAAAGGAGGTACCTCACTGATATAAATTTGATCAAGATCTGATGAAGGGATCCATGAGAAAATCATCAAACTCTTCATTTTTGGAGTAGGTTTTTAAAAATTATTTAATAACTTGTGTGTTACTACATTTAACAAATTGTTTCAATATTTTTCTTTCTTGAGAATCTCCTCTGGTTTCATCTAGTTTTCACAGCCCCTCATGTTTCTTGTAGTATATCTGATGCCTACCAATGCTTATTTTGCTGATTTGAATTTAATATATTCTATTGGTGCATGGTTATTTAATGAATCTAAAATTGATTTGTATAGGTACAGATACCAGTACTCCTACCGTAACTCAAAACTCGAATAATATAAATCTGTCAAATTCCAACATAATCATCGCAAAAGATGAACAGGAACCATCTACAAGTAACATTAACAACGAAAACTTACCCACTGTTGTCGCGACTCACGGTTGTGATCTCTGTGGAAAAATGTTCCAGTTCCGTTACCAACTAATTGTTCACAGACGTTACCACACCGAAAGGAAACCATTCACTTGTCAGGTGTGTGGAAGAGCTTTTACTAATGCTCAAGAGCTCACCCGACATGGAAAGTGCCACCTTGGAGGCAGCATGTTCACTTGTGCAGTTTGTTTTCATGTGTTCGCAAACGATGCCTCATTGGAAAGACATATGAAACGACATTCGACTGATAAACCATATGCTTGCAACATTTGTTCCAAAACTTTTGCAAGAAAAGAACATTTGGATAATCATACGAGGTGCCATACTGGGGAAACTCCTTATAGGTATTTATGTCATTGAAAATCATTATTTTTATTATTAAATCGATATTAAGAAGTTTATATTTTAGATTATTTTATAGCACACTCACTTTATTACTATTAAAATGTATAATCATCTAAAAAACATTGTGGTGGGCAGAGTAGATGTAAGAAGACAAAGTATACTGAGGTGGGCGCAAATAACACAGGACAGAAAGAAAGGAAAGCCTATGTCCAGCAATAGATGATAAAGGCTGACTAGATAGATTAACATCCCTGTTCACAATGCACTTTTAAAAAGTTATCCATTATTAAAATTTTAAATGTAAACATCGATTCAAAAAAGAAAAATAGAGTTTAGCATTATTGTGATTTTTCAAACACACTTTGAATCGTTACTGTCATTAGTAAAATTTAAATAAATGAGGTCATTTCAAGTCATTAGGACATTAAATATTGGTTAATATTTGTCTGGAAAACATTTTGGAAATCAATAAAAAAACATGTAAATAATTGTTTAGAAAGATTAAAATAATTATATTCACGGTAGGGTTCTAATTAACAGAGCTGTTTATAAATTTGGCACTGGGGAACAGTAACGAAGCCAACACAGAACATAAGGATCCTTAGTAGTTGATGCCAATGACACAAAGAAAATAAAAATAATAACAGTCTGTGAAATATTGCACAACTCTAATAGTGATTATTTAAAATTTAGCACTGGTCAACTTACCTGTACATTAAAATTTTTCATATCAAAATTATCTATTTGGCATTTTTTTTTTCAAAAATTTAACACTGGAAGCTGATTATAGTTTCATTGGCTTTTGTCCTTCTCAATTTTCTTTGCAATAAGCTCACATATGACTCTCTTGATTTCGATTTTGGTTTTTAACGTTTTTGATACACCCCTGTAACTTACAATTTTACATTAGTTGAAAAGGCTTTTTTAATATTTAAAAAAAAAAGGACATTTATGAATTATTTTTTTAAGAAATTGCGAATTTAACAGGTAGCTAATATTAGTAGCCAACTTTGGTATGGACTATTTTAAGTTTTTAGATAGGCAGAGGTGATTTCGTACGACGTTTTTTTCTTCTAATGTTTTTTGTGTGTAAAAATTGTTTGCCAACAGCAACACTATATAGCTCGCTTGAGGCATGCTAAAATTTCAAAATATTTCTGGGTATAAACAAAGTGTGGTTTTGCTCGGGGCCATACCCTAACCCAAAATGTTTAAAATGAACCAATCACACAATAATATTTCTCTTTATAATTGAAATAAAAAGTAATTCATTTGAAATTTTATGGAAATCATAATATGATTTTTCATTGCTGTGTATCGTATCTTTCAAAAACATCAAACTACGGATATTATAAAAACTCTTAACACCAGAACATAGTTCATAAATAAAAATATACACATCACTAAATAACAATAAAATATTTAATTTAAAAAAAAAACTAATGTACGAACTATGAAGACTAGAGAGAAGGAAGCGAATCGGCAATGGTCAAATTTCAAATTTCCGTCCTTTTTATAAAGTTCGTGAAATTGACTGTAGTTGGCATATCAAATGATAGCGGTGTCAATTTTCTCTGTAAGTCAATATAAAATGAAGTAATTTTTTAAAAAATTGGTGAAAGGAATCAAAATAATGTGAAAAAAAGTACCTGATACAAGTAACATGAGTGACAAAAAAACATCAAAGCAAGATTTACGTCGTTCCAGATTGTAAAACAGGATAAAAATCAAATCTAAAACTAAAAAGAAAACACAAGAAGAAATCAATTCAATGTCTTTATAAAATTTCTAATGTAAGTAAAATATTGTATTCATGTCTAAATATAATATTTATTGTAAACTAGTAACAATATGTATCTTACTAAAGTGGTAATTCTGTAATTCAATACGTTTATTTTTAACGGTTGTTAAATTTTACGATTTTAACATAAATTGTAATTCTGTAAAAATAAAATTAACGCATACGTTAAATTTCCAAAACAATTAACATACGTTAAAAGTAGTTCAAATTTGCAATAAAAGTATGGTTAAGTTTTAAGGTCTGTCAAATAAATCTAATTCCTTCTGTCATATTTATTGTATCTGTCTGTTTTTGCACAAGAATATTGAAAAAAGTAGCGGCCGAATGTACTTTATAAACTATTTGGTAGGCCATCAATTTTCAATACAAAAAACTAACCCCAATAACCTTATAAATAGTACCTTTCTACGGCAAATCAATTACTAACTACAAATAATTTATGTACATTATAAATAAAATATAATTTCTAAGTAGAATTTGTGTAGTTTCAACTGTTAAAATTACTTGAGTACTTACAAAATGGTTCATTTCATGATTTTCTTGTTAAATTTTTATGTTAAATTTTTAACACATTTCTGCTTATAGAATAGATTTTTGCGGCACAAATGAACTATTACGACAAGTTAAAATTTTTCATGAATTTACAGAATTGCTTCTCATTGCTTAACGCCCGTTAAATTTTAACATATTCGTTATAGAATTACCACTTTCGTGTAGTTTATTTTATTACAAGTTTCTATAATATAAAATTTTACAGTCATAGATGCTGACTTACAAACAACAATAATTATGCATTAAATTTAACTTACTAGAAAAGAAAATTTATTTTTTATAGAGTTTTAATGTTAAATAAAGAGTTGCTACTGTTATTTTTTTTGGACCCCATTTGTGTCATTGTGAATGTTTTTTATAGGATACTAAACGTTTAGAACAGTGGCAGCATATATATCGTTCCTAGTGCCGATAAAGCACTTTCTAGAGATGATGCTGTTCTTTACTTTTTAGAAGATATCAAATATGATACTATTTTTACTGATGGTACTGTTAGCAAAATAAAAAGGGGAAAGCTGAAATTAAAGGATGAGGTAATACCATGTACATTCCCAAATATCCCTTTATACTTGTATTACAACAATAAAAATCTGTTAATTGTGTTTTATTTTACTCTTAAAACTATATATTGGTTCAATTAAAAAAAAAAATTCCACAAAATTGTACTTATCAAATTTCAGCATTTAAGAAACCTTTTCGAATTTGGCCATACATACCTAATTTTGTATTTTATATAGATAAAATTAAATAATTTATCAATAAAAACATGCAAGACTTATTTAGAAATAAATACAACAGTATGTTCTGTGCTTTGTTTAGCTATAAACAAGTTTATTTTTATTATTTTGACAAAAGTATGTATAATTCCCATAAGAAGCCATGTATTTTGAACACCCTATGCAGTACCAGCGCCCATGCGGTTAATTATAGAAAGCTCAATTAGCATGCGTTTTTTGGGACCGTATTTTGAGTATGCCGATTCGCCTCCTTATATCTAGTCTTCATAGTACGAACCCAAGTAGAATGTTTTCTGTCAACTAACTTTTTCATTCCGTGATGTCACTCCGTCTAGTAACCGGGTATGAGACCGTCGTTTCAGTCTACGAACCTTGATCACTGATCTGTATTATTTTACTGGATAGGATATAGGCTATATCTGACATACTAAAAATCCGTTCCAACAAGGAGACCGGAAGTGCAACACTGCTGGCCGATTTGGGCAAATTATGGCGGGATATTTCTTAGAGCATGCCAGTATGTGGAGCATGCTCTAAGGGATATTTTGACATATCTAACCTATAATTTGATTAGGTCTGCTTCTATTCCTTTTGCGGACAATGTCCTTCGGGACAATTCTCCCATAATTTGATTTTTTATGAAAGAAAATATAAAACTGAAAACGTGAAGCATATTGTGTCTTCTTGAATGAACGTTTATTGTTAATATTCTTTTTACTTCGTTTTCCATAATAAAAAGACGTCTTGTTGACACAATTAAATGAGAAATGGAAATAGAGGTTATGTTAAATAACATCCGGTCCGCCATATTATTTGCCCAAATCGGCCAATTTTTTGGAACGTTTTTTAGGAGGCTATATCCTATCCAGTAAAATAATACAGATCAGTGACCGAGATTAAAATATGCGGTCATATGATGGCAAATTGCGCCCTCTATGGGTTAGGCCGGAAATTTTTCATCTCATTGTATGATTTTGATTTTTTTTTGTTTTTCTATGAGTAATATTTGTTGAAGACATTTTTAACAAAACCTTTTATGTAATTTTGTTTCAATATAATAAATACCATTACATATTAAAGTCAATTGATCATTAAAAGCTTTTATAATAAAAAAATGAAAAAGTTTGTTTTTATGTATGCTCGATTGGGAGCATCATATTTGCAGAACCGTGACGAAAATGTAATGTGTGTGGTTACAGGTTAATTAAACGGTCAGCCGATCCTGATATAAGTATTGTCAATATTAGTGCGACGTTGCGAGGTAGTTATTTTCTCGGTGAAATCTAAAGATTTTTTCCATATTTAGTAATTCCAGCTCTACAAAAAAATAGTTTTGTAGAAAAAATTTATTTAAAATAACCATTATAGTTTCACTACAAAAATGTTGCTTAGTTGAATTATTAAACATAATTTTTTGTATCAAAATTTGTAGGGCAATTCTGCATTATTATGTATGTATGCCAAATGTAATAAAGAAAAATTTTAAAAACAAGACCGGAAAGTAGGAATTATTTTAAAAGTCAGTTTTAGTACATGGATAATGCTCTTAATGTATTATGTAAAAAGACCAATAATACTTTGCAGTATTTAATAAAAATAAACAATTAAAAACGTGAATTCAAAGTAGACTTGTTTATTTATTTTGGCTTTTTTTTTAATACAGGTGTCAATACTGTACCAAGACTTTTACAAGGAAAGAACACATGGTAAATCACGTGAGAAAACATACTGGAGAAACTCCTCATAGATGCGAAATTTGTAAAAAATCATTCACTCGTAAAGAACACTTCATGAATCATGTTATGTGGCATACGGGAGAAACTCCTCACCATTGCACAATTTGCGGCAAAAAATATACGAGAAAAGAGCATTTGGCTAATCACATGAGAAGTCACACCAATGACACTCCTTTCAGGTAGGATTAATTTGATCCATATAATTTGGTACTTATAATAATTTGAAAATGTAATCGATGTTTTAGGTGTGAAATATGTGGTAAGTCTTTTACAAGAAAAGAACATTTTACGAACCATATAATGTGGCATACAGGAGAGACTCCTCATCGATGCGATTTCTGTTCAAAAACATTTACCAGAAAAGAACATCTTCTGAATCACGTGAGACAACACACAGGGGAATCCCCACATCGTTGTGGCTTCTGTGCAAAGTCGTTTACTAGGAAAGAACATTTGATTAACCACGTCCGGCAACATACAGGTAAAATGACAAAATTACTAGAGTTCTTCAAATATAAACTCGATTTTTTTACTTATTAATAATTGGTGATATAAAATTACAACAAAAACAAGTTTTTTTTCTACCTAGTTTTCTTCAACATAAATGCATTTTATTCAACGGGTGGCGTCGTTGTTAAATATTTCTCTAATATTTCATTCACTAGTACACACATTCCTTTGTTAGCGAGCTATGCCTATTCGTCCTGAACGCGCTTGCCCTAATGGATTAAATTCTGGTTATATTTGAATGACACTCGAATATACTTACATAAGTGCTTATTTTTTATGTATTTTGTGAATATTTTTCAGGAGAAACACCATTTAGATGTAATTTCTGTCCAAAGGCGTTTACAAGGAAAGACCATTTGGTAAATCACGTCAGGCAGCATACCGGAGAATCTCCACATAAATGTACATATTGTACGAAGTCATTTACAAGAAAAGAACATTTAAATAACCACGTACGTCAACACACAGGCGAGTCGCCTCATAGATGCCATTTTTGTTCTAAATCGTTTACGAGGAAAGAACATCTTACGAATCACGTCAGAATTCACACAGGTTTGTTTTACTTATTTATTTATTTATTTTTTTAATTAAATTGTCTCATGGATTACATTTACAATATTTTATCCACAAAAATCCAACAGAAATTTTACCTTACCTATTTATATCATCTATCCTTTTTACCAACCTTCAAGGTTTTTGGAAAAATGTTAAATTGTGTTTCTTTATTTTGAAAACAGAATCTAATACAAATTTTCACTTCAGTCAATGTATACCTACTGATCTTCCATGAAAATATTAATTTAGTTTTAAAAATACCTTTAGAATAAAGAATATTTATTTATTTATTTTTATAACTGCCTTATCAATGCTTTGTTAATACATTTTTAAAGTTAATTTTCGTACTTAGGTGAATCTCCACATCGATGTGAGTTCTGTCAAAAAACTTTTACCCGCAAAGAACACTTAACAAATCACCTTCGGCAGCATACCGGAGAAACGCCTCATTGTTGCAATATCTGCTCTAAACCGTTTACTAGAAAAGAACATCTGGTGAATCATATGCGATCACATACTGGAGAACGTCCTTTTGCTTGCAACGAGTGTGGAAAATCGTTTCCACTTAAAGGAAACTTGCTTTTCCATCAACGGTCTCACAATAAAGGTGCTGGAGCTGAAAGACCATTCAGGTAAGAATTAATTAAACAATAGTAGGCTAATGACTCGGTTCCTTAAAAATAAAAAATAAAACTAAATCTGCTAAAATAGAAAACAATTTACTACTTATAAATAAATGTCATAGACTTGTTGAAATGCGATTTATATTGAAACAATTTAAGGATTTTTCTACGAATCTAGATCAAATATATTTATTCATAATCTGGAAGGTAAGAGGTAGAATTACTGAAATATTAACTGTAAATTCCGACATATTGGGTATTTGTGGGAATTTCACACAGGCTTGTGACTGAATGGAAAGATAAAATAGACGACGATATAAAATATATTTCATACATTGCCGGAATGTCACCAAATAAAACAAATATTCATTTCGTTAAATTGTAACGAATATTTTAATTCTCAAGATTTTATATTCAAAGATTGGGCTAATTTTTGTACTTATAAAACATAAAATTAATGTCAAAAGCTAACTGTATACCATTTAATTGTAACATTCCTTATAATTTAGAATCCATGTATTTCTCTAGACTCTCCCCAACCAACGTTGGTAGAGTTAGGAAGAAAAATCAAAATTAAATACACGTCTGGTGAAGATGAAATTCCAGCATGTATAATTAAAAAAACTATAAATGTTATTAGTGAGGTTTTAGCATATCTTATCAATAACTCAATCAAGGGTGGAGTATTTCCCACTCAATTAAAATTAGCTGTAGTTAAACCACTATATAAAAAAATGTGATTCTCAGTTGAAAAATTGTCGACTGATAAGTATTTTGCCTAGTTTTTTGAAATAGCATTTTAACTTTTTACGAAAAATGTAAACTTTTTAGTTAATTAAGCAGAAAATCTACACAAACAGCAATATTTCAATTTACACAAAATATAAATTTAATGGAAGATAAATATCTGGCGCTTGGTATGTTTCTTAATCTCCGAAGGCATATGACTCTTGGCCACAAACTCCTGTTAATTAAATTGGATAAATAGGGTTTATGGCTTCGAATATAAGATATCTATTGGTCCCTGGTCGCTGAGGAGGTCGTTTTAAACTTCTACCTTAATGTATAAAATTCTGTAGGCCATAGTATCCATTTCTAATTAGTTTTTGTAATTTGTCAAATTGAAGTCTCCCTTTTACATAATTTTTCAAATGTTTGATATTTTGTAATTTGTGAAATTGAAGTCTCCCTTCTACATAATTGTCCAAATGTTTGATATTCCACACATGATTTTTATTAGGATAGTTAGGAAATGTCTACTTTGTGCTATCAAACAAAGAAATTAATTTACTTTGTGTTATCAGATAAAAAATGAAATGTACCTCATATTTGAAAGAATCAAAAGGAGTTGAGAAAATGTAGTTTTGTGTTAAAGCTGTAGAAGAATTGCATATTATGTAACAAGGTTGGAATTAAAATTCGATACGAGTGAACGCGGGCGTGAAAAACCCCGAATGCCGGATTTTCAATCCAACATAGTAACAGACTATACTTTTTCCATGGTCACAGATACAATAGGAGTTGAATTCAGTAAAATGAAACTTTGAACAAAATAAAATATTTACTCTAACTTATGTCAAGTTTTTATTTTAAATATTTATATAATTTGTGAGTTTAAGTTCGACTTAACAAATGCCATTTATCTTTATTAAGGCAAATTTAAACTAAATACTAATACGTCGCGTAGAACTGTCAGTCATGAAATTCATGACTATCTACGAAGCGGGCGTAGTATTCACAACCATTGGCCAGTAGCTATTACATATTGAACATTCTGTATCTAGAGTTAAAATGAATTATGTGTAAAATACAAAAGATGCAAGTGTTTCAGAATTTTCTTTCAATCTCAAGAGCGAGAATGTACTCTCTGTTATGTAGAAAATTATTTTATTGATACACTTTTGTAGATTATGGCTGTTTTTTTAATTTTGTTTATACTCAGGGATACACTTTTGTAGATTATGGCTGTTTTTTTAATTTTGTTTATACTCAAGGATACCTAGAGATTTACTCATGTTATACATGTTCTATAATAATTGTGTCAGGATTTACATATTCTATGGGTAATATAATTGTGAACTATCTATGTCCCGGGGGTTAAGCAACAAAATATTTAACTCTGGGCCACAATAAGGCCTTAACTGTACGAGGGATTTATGGAAATTAAAACCTCTAAAGATTATAGGAAATGCAATGTTTTCTCAAAACAAATATATTTTTATATAAAACCAATTGGCTAAACGTTAAAACCGTGATTTGAAATACTATAGCTTTCAAGATGGAGATCCAGAGCCTCCTGTCGGAGTCCTCATAATCTCGAGTTGCTACTTGGAATCTCCTACAAGGAGGATCTCCTACAGAGATTGTCCTGCCCTGTTAAAAAGACCCTGTGCTTCTTCTCGAGATTACCCTTTATCACTTTTCAATAGCTTATTCTTATTCAAATATTGTTTAAAAATTATTAAATAATCATCAACCTTGTACATGATTGCAACTTAAAACGAAGTTTGAACAGATTGTTATTTAAATAATTATTTAAAATTTGTAAAAATTTGAATTTACATGAAGTGTGACAATATGATCTGGTCTGGTATAAGATTTTCCATTGTGTGCAAACACATAATTTTGCCTCCCCTTGTAACACATGCAAATCTATAGTTTATATTTCATTAATAAATATGTATTTCGTAACATTTTTTTTTTAAATTTTCCCCTTTAAATATCCATTTAATCATTAAATTTTATTACAGGTGTGACTTATGTGAGAAGGACTTCATGTGTAAGGGCCATCTTGTATCGCATCGAAGGGCGCACAGTAACGATAGGCCACACGTTTGTCCAGATTGTGGAAAGGCATTTGTCGAAAAGGGTAACTTGTTGCGCCATTTAAAGAAACACAATACTGAAAATGCTGCTACTGCTCCATTGCCAACACAAGGTTTGTAATCTTTTCCAATAATGAGTCAAAATTAATACAATTTTTATAACTTTATTAGGTACTACCTCATCACAAAACCAACCAGCGGGTGGTGGTGCTGCGGCTAACATCCAGATTCCACAAGTTCATGTTAGTCAGAATCAGCAGCAGCTCCAGCAAAACACGGCTAGTAACATTGGGCAATCTTCACATTTACAAATGCATCCCCCTAATAGTCATTCTGTTGTGCCAACTGCTAATACTAACGTTTTGACTTATTAGGCTCTCTAACCTGAGTTCGTTGATGACAGATAACAGATATTAACTTTCGATGATTACTTATAAAGGCCTAAGATTTTCTTTTGGTTTGATTTATTGCTTATAGTAAAAGTTGTTTAATTCGACACTGCAGGCGAACAATTTTTGGGGTTGGAAAAAATTGAATATTCACCAATATTATTTTTTGAAGTGCAAGTCCATTCTTTTATTTTTGTTGGAGATAAACTTTTCAGTTACTGTTTCATTAAAATTTGGCCCTTTTTCGCACCATTGATGTTTTAGTTGAAAGCATTGCAAGTGCTGTTAGTTTGTCAAAGTGTTCCTGGGCAATCTGGTAAAATCAGCTAAATCTGTTTTCTAAAATGTATCTACATTAGGACGTTTAAAAGCCGCGAAACAATATTTAAGTATTAAAGCTAATGTTAAGCTGTTGGTCTTGAATCCATAGATGTTGAGTTCGTTAAAAATCCCTGCCTTTTGTTGAAACCCCTAGGTATTCGAGTGTTAAAAAATTATATATCTAAACAAAAATCTGATAAACGAAATGAAATATACCCCAAAAGCATGTAAAAACATTGTACACCAAACGGCACTTGTGCCAATCCTAATCTTGAGCAAAGCAGTTAAAAAAAAATATTGTATATTAAAAAAATCACATGAGGTATAACAACTCTAATTTTGTTTGCTCTTAAAGTTTTCCAGAAAATAACGTATTCAAATATATCTTGATTATATATCGTTAAAGGGAAACATTTTCTTCCTCTTAAACATCTATCCACGATTAGTAGGTAAAAATAATTAAAAATATGAATCAATTTTTGTTGATTTAAAAATTTATTTGTATGCCTATTGTTGTGATTAATTTTTACAGGTTGCCATAGAAACGACAAACCTTTCACACATACACATGGTTTAAAAGGTAGATAAAAATATTAATAATTCAGGTTTAAAAGCTAGGTTCACAATTAATTTTATTAGGATTGTAATTTTCAGGAAAAACACAATTGTCGCTGTCATGTCTTATGGGATTTTTTGAACATAAAATAATTTTTTTCTACGATCACTATCCAAAGTGGGCTTTTGCGCTTCGAAATTTAACCGCAAAGTTGACGTTTTCCGCGAACTAATTATAAGTAACAGCTTTGTCGATCGCCGAGCGGAAAACTTAACATCTTTGTCGCTCGCCTATTTTAAATTAGATGTAATATAATATTTATTTTTAATAAATGATTTTAAGTTATTTGTACCTAGTTTGACGCGGCAACTTTTTGTCTAAAACGACAAAGTATCACTTTTCGCTCTTAATACACAAATGGCTATTTATATTCACTTTGCTCAAGATAGGGATTCGTTGCCAGATGACGGTCGAAATTTGCAGTGAGCTCTCCTACTATAACCAATACAATGTGACAACCGCCTATATTCAAACAGCAGTCTTCTGCGCATCCTGAATTTGTATCCCTGGAGTGGATGTTATTTTGGAACATCCAATTGGTCCGAGTGAGCTAACTGATTCTTTAGCTATAAACTGTGGCCATACTAAGTAAATGGCACCACAAGGCGGAGCTTATTTCAAACTAGTAGTTGGGATAGTAATGGTATTTAAAAAATAATAAGACAGGTCTCCCGCAAATAACATTTTACAGATATCACAAGTGGACGTTTCGCAGATCGGTTCGTCCCAATTTATCCACACAATCCTGCAGGGGAAATTGTGAATAATTTATGAAAACTCGCGATTTACCTTTTAACTAAACACATGAGCGCGCATTATTTTGGCGAAAGGTGTGTTCATTTGTTGCTAGGTCTCTCTATTTGAATATAATTTTTCTTTTCTTCCTTGCGATATAAAATATAAACAAAATTCAAAAAATTTATGTAATTCTCGTTGTAATAACGTTGATAGAAAATTAATTCCGATAATTTGGAAGTTGATTCTTTCACGGCACAATATTAATCGTACACGTGACTGGATGTGCAATCAAAAAGAGGCTGCGAATTTCATTCAATGAGTTCGTTTGTTGTTTTATTACAAATTGACTTCCAAAATATATCAATAGCGCTTAAATAATCGAAGTCTGTTCTGTTATTTATCCATTGCGCGGTTTTACATGAATTTAATAACGGAGAGCCGATAATTTTTCGAAAAATTGTAAAATTTGCGTAATTTTCGAATCTTTTTGACGTTACGTATTTTAGTAGATTCTCCAGTTCTTATTTCTCTTCACCATAAACGATGTTACTTCGAAATGTACAGATATCATCTTCATCCAAATTTGTCCCATGACTGATTTTTTTGGCTACTTCAATAATATCAATTTTAGTTGGACCAGGAATTTCCCGTTGGGTGTTTACGAAGAAATAATAGAAACAGATTTGGAGTCGTAGAAACATAGATTCCGATACTTCAGAAATATTCTGTAAATAAAATAAATTATTTTACTAAACCTAGAATGCAAACATGTCAAATTTAAATAAATAAAAATATATTTTATTTACCACCTCGCAACTCTCCGCTCCACTGAATTAGTCGTTTTCTTTTAACAAATTTGTCACCCTGAAATATATTGCACGGACAGGCTCCTACTGTCCACCTGCAATCGTGGACAATGTGGAAATGGTTCCAGTCGAGGCTTTCATGATAACTGATGATGAGTTGTCTGTAGTATTGCTGGTTTGCCAATTGATTAACAAAAACAAAGCCTTGTTGTTATTCTCAGACTGGGTAGCAAAATCTTCTAAGGTTTTCCACGAATTTACTTTTTGTTTCCCAGGTTCCAAATTCGTTAGAATCTTTTTTTCAAAATCCTCATTAATGATAATATAGGGTGTCCAAATTGTAGCAGTCATTAGAACAGTTCTTCAACAGGGTATAAAATTTCGTCGACGTCTGCCATATCTCTTAAATTAAATTTCCTGGTTCGTGTATTTTGAGTGACAATAATCACAGTATTTAATTTTTACGTACTGAATACACTGTTGTTCGCAGTGGACACAGTATACTCGTTTGATGTACTGTTAATTTAAAACTTCTTCAGGTTTAACAGTGTGATGCTCAATCAGTTCCAACCAATCGATATGATTAATTTGGCTGATTTCAGAACTCCTAAGGCGTTCTCAGTGTGCTCTCTTTATCGTACTATTGCTCATATGCCTCAGACGAGGGAATGTGAGTGAGAGGGCACATATAATGTAATTAATATTGCTTTGGTGGGGTCACATTTTAAATATTTTGTTGTACAGGGTGTAACTAAATAAGTGTAAAACATTTAAGGGGGTGATTCCTCATCGAAAAAAAGATAGGATCTTTCATATAAAGAAACTTCATTGGAGCATCCCTTGTTAAGATACAGCCCCTTAAAGAGGGTACATAAAATTTGTTTAACAATTTTTTTCACAAGCACTAAACAAGTTACAATATTGAAATTAACCTGTCATTTTCTACTACCAAAAAGACACTTAGCCAGTAGCGGCCTACTAGATAAATTAGTTTCGTATTTTCGTTTTATGGCGATATCTATCTTGTTCGTAAAATAATGTTTTGCTGCGAACTGGTTTATTTTGGGCAAAAAATTCAAGAGACATTTTTTGTTTAGAATGAAACAGGCTATCGGAAATAAATGGTAAACAAATAATAAGACAAAAAGTTACGTTGGAACGAAATTTTAGGGGTTGCGTTTTCCACCCCTTACAACCATGGGGTAAACCAAATAAATTACTGGCTAAGTGTCTTTTTGGTAGTAGAAAATGTCAGGTTAATTTCAATATTGTAACTTGTTTAGTGCTTGTGAAAAAAATTGTTAAACAAATTTTATGTACCCCCTTTAAGGGGCTGTATCTTAACAAGGGATGCTTCAATGAAGTTTCTTTATATGAAAGATCCTATCTTTTTTTCGATGAGGAATCACCCCGTTAAATGTTTTACCCTTATTTAGTTACACCCTGTAGTGGTTTATTATTTATATCATATTTCATTGTTTATTATGTTTTATTATATTTGTGTTGGTCTTATTGTTTTTGTTTTTTGAAGTGCCATTTATTTTTACTATTTTCAACTAATTTTCCCTAAAAATTAAATACCTTAAATGTGTCTGCAACCTTAACTATTTTACGACCATGTACAGTTGTTTTTGTTTTACTGGAAATATTTTATTTCTGATTTTATTATTTAAAAACCAATAATATCTTCTATCTGCGAATGAACTCAGGTCAACATTGCCAGTATTGTGTGATATATGTAGATATTGTTAAAAGTGAAATATTATATCTGATCAGTATTTTGTTTGAAATATAAGGAAGCAATGGTGATGTATGTAGGAATCTTAAAATTGAATCTTTTTATTGGATGCTAATTATAAATATTGATTAGAGATATTAGTTCATGTTTTCATGTACATAGTGTTAGCTAAAGTTTAAAATTAACTTCTTTGAAAGAGTTGATTGTTTAAAATAATTTAAATGACAGAGTTACATTGTCCTACTTAATTGAAGACTGTTTTTATAAAATATTATGGTTATTTTCATGATTGGTTTAAAATATTATACATTTAATTATAAGTATATAAACTAGGAGTCTATTTTTTAGTTGCCATGCATATTTTTAAATTGATTGGATTTTAATAATATATCTTAAAATCCCAAATAATGATAAGCTCTTTTCAAAAAAACTTGGCAGTTTGATGAGTCATAATTGTTTTGTTGTCATTATTAAAGAAAATTTATAGTTGAAATTTCTATATTTAATTTCATTTTGAATTTAGTTTTTTCCAATTTTAAAAAATTGAACCAGATGGCATTGTTTTAGTTTTATATCTTAGGTGCTATATTTTTCGTCTACGTTCTAAGTATCATTTTTTAGTCAAACAAAATTATTTATTTTTATTGAAAACAATTGATGTTAAAACATCTTTTTTTCGTGGATATTGTACATTGCTTGAAGATGTGATGTAAGAATACATTTTTCTTGGGTTGCAATTTTATTGTTTTCTTTGATTATATCTAGTATAAATGCCATAATTTTTATTGTTATTGGTAGTGTATGATCAAATAAACATTTCTATAGAACTGGGGCCCTTGAAACGACCTTTCTGGAAGGAAGTGCGATTTTAAATTATCTTAATGTGTAATTTAAGATGCTTACCAAGATAGCGAAAGTAGTGTCCTTCAATTCAAATATCGAAAACGAGGGGAAAACCACTTGGGCCGAAACATACATTTCAGTAACCATATAACATTCATGTGATTATCTTTCATACATTTTTACGAATATTTTGGCGAGATCACTCATGGTTCTATGATTTTTGTGATTTCGCGAAAATATCTCTTAATTTTATAAGATTTCGGCGATTTCTCCGAAATCATCATAATATGTCTCTAAAAGGTGCGGAAAAAATGCTATCACATGTTCCTGAGGCTTAAATATGACGATCTAGCCCAACTTACCTCAGTCCAAAAGAGGATGATTTCGGAAATACAGAGTGTTTAAATTTCAATTTGGTTTTAGTTTTTCATAATTTTTTTTTTAATAATTGGTGTATTTTCACAATAATAATCATCTTTATTTTGAGAAACAATCATAATACATATAAGTAAGACAATTCTTAAACAAAACAGTGTCAAGAAAAATATATTAATGATCACATAGAGTAATATTCATTAATTGTATATGGTTCTAAATTAATTAACAATTCATGTACTTCCCTTTTAAATACTTTAACATTTGCTAATCTTTTTATTGCATCAGGCAGTTTATTGTACAACTTTACACAGCTGTGCCCTGCTCCATGTTCTGTAGCTGTCAGCATATGTATTGGATATACTAGGTTTATATTTCTCAATATATAAGCATTTGTTGATTCAAAATTTGAAAATAAACCTCTATTTTTAAATAAAAAAAATTAAGCATTCCTGTATGTATATGCCTATCACAGTTAAGATTTTATTTTCTCTAAATCTGGATTTAAAATTTGCAAAGTATACCATTTTTAAACTATCCCATTCCAAATATTTCTTCACAACTCTGATGCAGTAACAGATCTAGCTTAGTTTTGTACATACAAATTCAATATGGCTTTCCCAGCACTGAAAACTATCAATATATAGCCTCAGAAACTTGGTACTAGTTGGGACCTTAAATATACAGTTGTTTAGTTGGATATTTATTGGCATTTCATCTGTTGTAATAGGCCTTTTCATCACAATTTTTTTTGTGCGCATGTGTCAGTATCAACCATCTTTTTCGTACTGTTTTTTGTAAACAAGCATGTTAAAATGTCAACGTGAAAAAAATTATAATCGATAAATATTAATTTTTAAGTACATTCGTTTAAAAAATGCGATAAAAAAAGTAAAGTAATAAGTGTCTTAATTGAAAATCAATTTTTGCAATCAATTAATTGTGTTATCTTTACGGAAAAGGAAAACTAAATGGTATTGTTATGAGTGTGTAAAAGTGACAAAAGGTATAAATTATTATTTTATAAAAAGACTTGCCTGCAATATCGTAAAAAACTATCAAATCATTAGGCAAAATACATATTAAAACATGTTCAAAATGAGCATTATGAGTGAAAAAATGTGGTCAAAGTGACAAAGGTTTTCGATCGATTGATGTTACTAAAGATACTTACATTTGTTCACTACATTTTCATGGAGAAAGTGGTTCAACAGAAGAAAATCCTTGTCTGGTATTACGCAATATTTTTTAATATTAAATACTACTTCGATATACACAGTAATATTATAAAAATGTCATGTTGATCCTTAAAATTTTAAATAATTTATCTTATTAATTATACTCATGATTAACTTTCATGTTAAAGTGTTTTTGCCATTATTAATAGTTGGTTGGTATAATTAATTAGAATAAAGTTATAATTATTATTTGTTTTCATTAATTTTTTACACAGTAATTATGTATTGAAACCTAACCTCTCAATCACCACACTTTTTTTCCTTGTTCCCAACGTCCACGTCACTTCAAGAACCTTTTTAATTGATCACAACTATGTGCTTCCACAGAGTTATAAAAATGTAAATCACCATCAACGATTTTTTCTAATGATTTGTATGTAGAGATAATATTGCTTTTCCAGCCATTGTTGATCAAAACAGTACGAAACTTTTGAATTGGCGCTATTTCAACATGGCGGCTGCGCTTGCGCTCATCATATGTAAAAAGTATCACATTTGTTTTGTCCTCATTGAGTATTAATTTATTTATTTCAAACCATTTTTTAGCTTTAGTTCTCTCTCTCTCTCTCTCTCTCTCTCTCTCTCTCTCTCTCTGCATTTAGGGTTAACTCCATCATATTAGATGCATTTATTAAGATATTTGTGTCATCTGCATAATTGGTTAGCACACAGTTCTCATTAGCAATCATAACGCTGTTAGTTCATTCACATAAATAATAAAAATCAATGGACCTACTATACTTCCCTGAGGTATTCATATATTAGATGTTATTTCTACAGATCTACCTTCCTCATTATTTTTATATATTTTGACAACCTGTTTCCTATTCTTAAGATATGATTTGAACCACCCTAATGCAGCCCCCCCCTAATTCCATATTTCTCCAGCTTGTCCAGCACTATCCCATGGTCTAGACAATCGTAGGCCCATAGCCAGCCTACCATTCTCCAGATCAATATTTAGCTAGGAGGGGTTTTGTGAGGTGACAAATTAGAAGCAGTTCTCATTTTTATTGTAAAGTTTAAAGGGCGCCACCTGCGCTACCTTGTACACATTTAAAACGAAATAACTTTTAAATAAAAATTCTTGTTTTCCAAAGTCTTTTACCTAAAAAAAGATAAACGTAATAAGAGTTGATTTGAGCAGCCGTTTTTGAGTTATGTCGATTTAAAAAATTCACTTCATGTATGGCCCTTTCAATTTCCAATGAATTATTATTGTTGTACCATCTCAAAAAGTTTTCTCTGGAAAAACTTTAATTTTCTTTACGAAAGACCTTTTTTGTTCTTCACTTATTTTTTTATCTTCTTTTTTGTTCTTCACTTGTTTTTTGGCTCTTCACTTGATTTTTTTTGTTTGACATTTTTTACTCTTTACTTGTTTTTTTTTTATCCACCGTCTGCAGTTTTTATATTTTGGCCATGATTTCAGGGAATTCGAGAGAATTTATAGCAATTTAGGTGATTTCGACTAAAAACATACTAGTATTGCGGCAGTGGTTCACCCCTCGGTTGTATAGCAATATTTTTTATACAATTTTAGTTTTTGTTTGTACAGAATCTTGAACAATACCTGTAACACACGTGACGTCTGTAGTAACCCTAAAATAATGTCGCTGATATATTTACAGAACTGAGACTTAAGTTGTCATGAAATTCACTAAAAATGGTCATTGTCATTAGATTTGCTGTTTTACCAGATCACGTGGGATACAGGTATTGTTGAAAACTCGTTATTTAACAACCCATATTTCACAAAATAGACCTTAATTTTCTACCTCACTTTTTAAATTTTATTTTTACTTGACATTGAAACTCTGTCAGTCAGAAAATTATATATATACAAAAAATAGATATTTTATTTACTTAAGTTTCTGTTAGGTGTGCAATACTTATATATTTATTTTTTTATGAATATTTTATTTTCTTATAATTTTTGGTTTAATCGCCAATTAAATAATCATATGGGAACAAATTTCTTCAAGTATTTATATGTTTTTAATTCATATCATGTGGATATTAGAAAATATTGTATATTTTGTAATTTTTAAATTTAGCTTTAACGAATTGTAAAAATGTTTTAAGAACGGTTACTACATATTTTTAGTATTAGCTGAAAAAATATTTTTTAAGTAAAATAAACGGCATATTTTAATTTATAATTTTTGAATAGATGATGTACAGAAAAATTAAAACATTAAAATAAAAAAGCTTTTTTGAAAAATTTATATTTTTTCTATAACATTACCACTCCCAGAAAAAAAAAAAAGAAAAATCACAGTTGGCCCATTGCAAGTCGTACTTGCACAATAATAACGACGAAATTATACGTGTCAAGTAATTAATTCAAGTAGATAAATTTAGCTACTTATAGGGTGTAAACAACTTGACTTAGCACTTGATCAAGTATGTAATTTAGTAAACTTCTTAGTCAAGTAATTAGAAAAAATTGAGCAAGTTGTCTCCCCCAGGTGACTGGAAGAACTAGAAGCAGAAGGACTTGCACCCAGGTTCTCTGTAGTTAAATATATTGCCTCTTGACGCGTGCCAAAAGTCACGTATGCAGTGGGCTCACATACTGACCTCTCTCTTGCCCCGTATAGTAATCAAAGTATGTGACTGGGCTAAACAGAATCGCGCCACATTCCTTCCTACGCGCTATCTCGTATGTATGTTAAAATATTTGCTCTCGCTCCCTCTCACAGAAGTTAAAAAATAATTCATCAGAACATTCCCGACTCTAGAGTAAGCCACGCTCACTCACACAAGAATCAACTAAAAAATTTTTCGCCACATCACTCCCTCGATAGTCGTTCAACAGAAAGGATGTGGATATGGCACTCCATTAAAGTTCAGTTAACCTAAAAGTTCCTACATGTAATTCGTTAAACAGAGGCTCTCTTAAGCGTCATACCCAGTGAATATTCTCCGAGCTGACATTTAGTTGTCATAAAGTGAATTTTCGAAAGCACGGAAAGTGTTATTGTCACATACTTTGATTTTCTTTTACTATACGGAGAATGGTCGCACTCACATACTTTGATTGTAGGTCGCACTGCGCCGCTTTCTGAGTGCCTTTTAAAAGGAGATAGAAAACTCCGCCATTTTGATCCCTTATTACGTGTTGCCTACATCTTGGCGCAATATTTTTATGCTACGTTTGAAAAGTACCTCACGGAGCGGAGCAAAGCTAGTAGATTTTTTAGTCACGTGATCATCGAGCAAATCGAGCTTATGTGGAATAAAAGAACGGCTATGGATTTGTTTGTATTTCCCGTATCCGGTTTTCATTAAAATAACAAACGTAAACCTTTCTTTTAAATCAAATTTGATCTCTCGTCTCGTGGTTTTTGTTGCAAGTTGACAAGTAAAGTAAATTTTTATCTGTGGTATTTTTCGCTTTTTTGCTTTCACTAGAAAATAAACCCTGTTCTCATTTCTGTCTGACATGTTTTATAAATATTTTTTTTTAATAACCAAACACATGAAAAAGAATAAACTGCAATACAAGAGACAACGAACGATTGCCGCGTTTGAGAATCCACATCGGATGCATTTTTTACATCTCGAGCGTTTTTTTATCCACATCGGACACATCTGTCCCATTACATTTACGTATACCGAAACACGTGATCAAAGATTTACTACATCTCAGATGTATCAGATGTGGATTCTCAAACGCGGCATAAGTCTATACATCTCAGAAAAGTACATCTACTTTGTCAATTGTCACAGAAATTCCATTTACTCCGAAAGCTCTAAAATTTAAATCGGAGTAAATAGATCTTACTCGATTTACCAGCTCTGCATTAAAAGACCACGTAGCAGATCCCATCGAGAAGCCGCAGATGTATTAAAAGAACGACTTCGAGTAAAAAGAGCAAAATGAGGTAATTTTCAAACGCAGCATTAATAGGTGCGTTTTAATCCGCTTCTGCTTCGGAATTTTCGGTTTTCTTGTTTTAATCTGACAGGTTAAAACGACTAAACCGACAGTTCCGGAAGCAGAAGCGGATGATTAAAACGCACCTGATATTTTGCGCTTCCTGCTGTCAGTGTCAGTGAATATTATTTTTGGAGTCACAGTTTTTTGCTAAAGAATCAGTTAGCTCACTCGGACCAGTTGAAAGTTCCAAAATAACATCCACTCCAGGGATACAAATTCAGGATACGCAGAAGACTGCTGTTTTATTATAGGGGGTTGTCATATATTGTATTATCCGAGTTGCATAGTGTATAAACTGGAACATTGAGATCAAAAGTGCCGACGCAGAGTGAGCGATCTGATTCTTTAGCTATAAACTGTGGCATAGGAATCAAAATGGCCGCGCCCTATGTTGGGCGTGTCGGACCTCTCTCTTGCACCGTATAGTAATCAAAGTATGTGATTATTGTATATATGTAAAAAGTTATTTGTTTCGTGTTTCCTATGATGGAATATACTATATTTTTTATTTAGCGTTTAATTTACATGCAACAAATTTCCCTTCCAAAGTTGAATTACAGTTCATCTGTCCAGGGTGAACCTGAAAAATTTCTAAGTGTAGAAAATCAGATTCTGCCATTAGACAAGCACTAAATTATAAAATTTATTGTGAATCTAAATCTACTTACGTGATATTATTACTAGTCTATTTTTGCTGACGAGTCCTAATAAGGAAGAAACCGATCCAACAATGACGTTCTGCTTAGGAGGTGGTTGCGATTTTTCATATTTGTTGATAAATAATAATTTTAAACAAGTTTTTAAATAACATTTTTTTAATTTTTTTTTTAAATTTTTTTTTTTTACTATTGACTTCACTGATAATCACAGCTAATGCTCTGACTAGGACTTATGTACACGAATTAAGTTATTTCGCTTATAGTCATGCCTAGCCGTTTACTGTTAGACCCGTCAGATATGTCAGTCTGTTCCGATGAAGTGGAGAGGGGTAGAATGATAACTGTCAATGAAAAAGTCTGGACACTATGCACAATTTTGTTTTGCACATTTTGTAAACAAGATTCAGGGACGGTTTAACAACATTTTGTGCAACAATTATAAAATAATGCATCGAAAAATAATTAACAAGTATAATTTAATACTAAATCGGAATAAAAGCATAAAAAATCATAAATATAAGCAATATAACAAAGAATTGACGCCAAAAAAGCTTAAAACAGCCACAACACAAACAAAAAACAGAGCTGAACATGAACATAATCGCTGAATAAAGTCGATCCTGGAATTTGTTTACAGTGCTTAGGGCAACCTCTCCTTGTCATTTACGTGTGTAAGACTGGAAGGCTGAATCACGCATAATTTCTACACTCGTGATGGATGCGCAGACGGTACCTTATCGTTCTACCCTCTCTAGTTCTTTGGTCTGTTCATATTTGGTGATAAATTATGATTTTAAACAAGTTTTTCAAGTAACATTGTTCTCTATGTTTAAAAATAAGGACGCTTGTGCTAAATTCATGTTTCTTTACCTCACTCGTATATGCTATAATTTTTGTTAATATGTATCAGATTTGTAGTAAATTTTACGTCATGTACTAACTTTTATTAAAAATAATTTTTTCCTGGAAATCAACAATAAAACAGTTTTCTATAAATTGCAGATATTTTTCGACATCTTGAAGGCGTCTGGCAAACATCCCCTGCGAATAGTATCAGGAAATTGTTAATTGGAGATTATAATGCCATATAGGGTTGAACTTATTAAAAAATCAGCTTTCATACATTTTTTATATCCTGAGGACCTATCTACTAAAGTCAAGATTCATAAAACCCAAACGTTACCTACTATCTACTACAGCCATACTCAACCTTTTTTTCCTTCGGGCCACATTCGTATATGTGCTATGTTACACGGGCCGAAATATTTTTGGATGGTGACCTTTTTTTAGGACATCTATCTAAAATTAGTTAGTGGGGACCTCGAATCCCAGACCAGACCATGTGGATTTTTAATTAAATTGCATGGTTCGGTATAGGATTTGATGTGTGCCGTATTAATAGAAATTCAATTTCTGTTGATATGACATGCAGATTATAAAATGGCCATGCATTACCGTCTCGATGATAGTGGGTGAGGTTTTATGGGTTTTCATCACCTGTAAGTAAAATTACACCATCAATCATCTTTAAGTCGCCCCGGAGCGACACGGCAAATAATAATAATAGCCGTCCCTTTCCCCGCACAAGTTCAGCTTTTGGGGTTAAAATTCACTCGTAAGGGGGTGAATTAGGGAGAGTATTATTATTATTATTATAAGTAAAACACAAAACATAAATATATCCCGGTGTGTTACTGCAAAAACAAGATAACTCACATTTTTAGAGTTTCGACAAAACACTATTCAAACGTTTAAAATTAAATAAAAAATCAGTAAAAGCTTCAAACCGATTATTAATTTCAATGAAGAGGTATTGAAAACATTGTTCACAAAATATAAACTAATAATCTATCAATAATTGGTAAAAAAAGAAAGAAAAAACGTCACTTATCTTATTTTAGCTCTACATACAAATTATAATTCAATATATCTGTCACTATCTTCAGTCGAAGTTACAGTATCATTATTGGATAAAGGTAGATTGTGATAATAATGGTGAAATTCATATCAGGTGTATCTGATTTTGCAAAATTTTAGTAAATCTTTCTTCTTCCACTTTTTTGTAAGTATTTTCAAAACTTTGTTTCATCCTTTCATGCATCCCTCTGAATAAATACTGTGCGAGTTTGGCATATAGAGCCGAATTCCCCACCCTCGCCTATTGATAAATTAAATCTATTTTTCTGGTGGAATGTATTTAGGATAGCTAAATCTTTCGATACGTTGTCTATTAGAAAGTATGGTTAAAATTCATATTCGACTGTTACCACTAATACTTTTATTTACGAATTTTCACATAAAGATTACATCTTGACCAATCACTCGTTCACTACGGAGATTCGAACATCACGTGATATTATCTAGTGGTTGGTTAAGGTTAGCTGTATCGCGGAAAGAAAGGATGACGTAATCATCTCGTGGATTTCGGAAAAATCGAGAAAGGCCAGAGGCGGCTCTAGTCATAACAAAACAAATGGCGTGGGCACAATGTTGTAATATTTCAACAAACACATTCAACAAAAATAAGTAGCGGCAAAC